CCCCCGTCTGTCAGAGCCGCTCAAAGAGCAAGTGATTGGAGATGACAAACGAGGCAGTAAGACAGGTCAGGCAGCTACAGACGGAGAGAAAAGAGCGAAGGCGGGGCCTGAAAGAGGCGTCTAAGTCCCAACACCAGGGGATATGTAATGTGTGTGTTCTTGCATATTTGTTACTCGTACCGTGAAGATCTCTGGGGGGCCGACGCCACGCTTATCTGTCAGGTCTGAGCCTGGGGGTCGCCTCCAGCTCTGGATTCACTTCCAACACCAGCTCTGTCCCCTGTGAGGGTCTCTGTGACTCAGGTATACATGCCGAAATCTGCAAGAGACAGAAAACATCTGTGTGAGGAAAATATAGTGACAAAATCTCAGTTTTTAAGCCTTTGGAGCATTCCAAAGCTCACCAAACTATGGGAAGAAGAATGTGTCGACCCCAGCGCGTCACCAGATTTCATCTTAGTATGGACCAGTCCTCAAAGGCAGCATTGATAACAACATCAGCTAAATTACGTTCAGGGGATATACTGCCAAAACATTTCATGTACATCACACAGTGACTGTGAAACAACCAAAACACCCTGGACACTGTCAACACTTGTACTCACTTTATTTCTGGTCTTCAGCCTTTCATCAGCTACATTACACAGATAAATAGTGTAGGCTCTTTTAATGGTGTATTATCCAAATGATATCCAAAAACAGAAGAAATGATCATTATGACAATTCCACAGAAAACAGCAGCTTTGAACACATCTGTTTATGTGAAGTTTGTAATTTAAAAAGATCTCACAAAATCAAAGCATTAAATAGTTGATCAAAATTAGAATTTCAAACTGAATTGATATTTAAAAGATTATTAATTAAGCAGGGAGGCAACTAAAAGTTTTCATTATTAATATGACATTACTTTTCTCATTATACTGATTGTCTATAAAGAAAAAGATTTTAAAAAAAGTTAATTTCTTATGTCGCATTTTGTCGACCGATTGCTCGATTAATCAACTAATCTTTGTGTAAATCCCGAAACGAGTGCAAAAACATCACAACAGTTTAGATCCAATAATGTAAACAATAATAAATTAATGCATAATAAGAAAATAGGAGAAACACACATGTAGGGTTAAAGTACCAACACTGTAACGTGTATGAGAGCAACACCTTCAAGAACGTCTTTTTAAAACACCTGCTGACAGCAGGATGTCATCGTTCAGGGGGAGAAAAGTCTGTGGTGGAGATTTATTTCATACAAAACAATAAGCTTACCCTCCACTACACCATGGGTTCTTAGCCAGAGTTATTTGGCACCACTGAGCACATCTGCTTCAGTGCAGCTTATTCCTGGTCAGAACTTCTCCACAGTGGTTTACCTCCTAAAAGGTTTTAGAAGTATGAGGCAACACTGAACCAGAGAGAAGGGCTTTCATAACACATGGTGCCAGGTTAAGGGCCAGCCGCACAGCATGCAAAACAGTACAATGGGACAACATTTGGTGTGCAAATCCACCAGTCCATTCAAATGGTGTCCCAGACAAAAAGTTGATACACAAACAAATCAATTAACCTGAGGGGGGAAAGAAATTTCATTAGTTCACATTTATAAGCTGTTTCATTTGTTCACATTTATAAGCTGTTTCATTTGTTCACATTTATAAGTGGGAACAACCTCAAAGGCCTAATTTCACTAATTTCATAACAACTCAGACTTAAAAACTAAGTAAAACTCCCACTGATATTAGGTGTAAAGGAGGAGTCTGAGAGGGCCAGGCGGTGGAACCTGTCCGTTTCTGGAGCTATTCTCCTACTTTAATCCCGAAGACAGTCACACCCATCACACTGCCATTGTGTCTATGTATGACAGAGTGCGGCTGCTTGAGTTTAACCTGCACAGCCCAAATCACGCATACTGTACATTCATATGTGCAAACTCAATGACACACAATTCAATGTGTGCAGTTACTGTATAACCCTTATTACTGTATACTGTACCTGCAGCTTTATTCACCTGTGTCCAGGTGTTGTACTGACAGGATGGTCTCTCCGAGTCTGACTCTGGTTTTTGACTCTTCACTGGGTCCTGAAGAAGCACAGGCATAAAAATAAAACATTATATTCTTAAAGAATCCAGCAGCAAACCTTCATCCTACTGAACCAAGACAATTTTAGAATATCTGTACATACAAACTATGGACTTACACAGTATGTGCATTTATTTTAAACAAGACTAATTCTTTATCTTGTCATCTTTGCTAAGCCAACATGTCAATTCCATTTGTGCAATATCCCCAGCACTTTTTCTGTTTCTATAACCTCCATTATGCCTACTCCAGCTCTAGGTTCAGTACTGATCCAGCTCTTGATCTCCCATTGTTGCCTTTCTGGGGAACTAGCTAATCACAACTTGGATCTCATCTCTGTAGACTCCATTATCATTACTGAACATCAGTTACAATAACAATACACTCACAAATGTAACTGGCGAAGAAACTAAACAACACTGCAACAACACAGTCCAACAACAACAAGGAAAGGATTTCAAGTGTTCAAATGATCAAGCAGTTGGAGATAAAACAGTGAGCAAGCCCAAAATGTCAGTAATAGTTCCTTACTGCACAGGGAAACTATGTGCCTGCATACATACAGTAAGCACTGTAGGTCACTTTGTCTTCCAAATAAGTTTGGCCAAAATAGTTTTGTTTAAAATGTGCGTTTCATGCCCCTTTCTGACTCATTTTCTTATTGTCCTCAGATCTCAGCCATTCACTAGTGTATCTATAAAATGTTATGCCGTCCCTGGTAGGCTAGTGGTTAAGGTGCAGCGTTATGATTCGCTGTGGCGACCCCTCGATGGGAAAAGCCGAAAGTGACTCCCTAACTATAAAATGTTATAATTAATGCAATGCTCAATAAATCTACAAAAATAAGATTGAAGCTAAAATAAATCTGAATTGTTCTTTAACTATAGAACAGCTGATGAAGCTGCTATCCATACATTACATCTGCTTATAGCTATACCATACAGGGTTTACATGTAATTGATTTGTTGATATTTGGATTACTGCTCAGGCTTTTAATCTCTTTGAATACAAAGTTTCTCACAGACACACTATTAGTATGTGCCTTTCCAGTGATCCCCCTCCATCCATTCTAGCTTAACAACAATAGACATGCAGGATACTATGTACTGTATGTTAATATAAAAACCCCTGACAGTATAGATGGGGAATGGAGCATGACAACATCCGTGAAAAGCTAAACAAAGAAAAGGAAAGTATCTGCTTGGGGGCAGACTTCCACCTGCACCTGCACAGAGAGAGAAATCCAGGTGAATAGGTTTCTAATGAAAGATATTGTCAGCATTGTTCAAGAGTATTTCTTATTCTCTCTCTCCCTCTCTGGCTCACTCACTCACTCAAAATGTCTCCTCAACAGTTGACCCTCCTTTGACCTCAGCTATCTTTGCCAAGCACAAGCCCAGGGCACCTCGTGACAAAACCACAAAGACCACTTATCAACCAACCCATCAAGTGCCAGGAGCAGAAATCCACAATTATGCCACATGCAGCATTGAATAAAAACTGTTTTAAGACAACACTGCTTCAGGGTGTCTGTGTGTATTTTTATAAATGCATTAAATTTACATTTGGGAACGGTTACATTGAATAAATAATTATTTTCCAGGTCTAATCATAGCTATTATACTGGTAGAAGATCTGTAAAAGATTCTGTTCACAAAGGGAAAGATATGTTGTGTTTGAGTGCCTGATTGCTTACACACAAGATATGGCTTGTATTGGCTTTTTGCCCTAAGTACAGATAATCCACATGTGTCAGTGATTGAAGAGTTACAAATCCCACAGTAACAGACACACAGGTGGCACTGGAAAGAAACAGCATACCAGTCTAGATTTCTCGCTCGCTCTCTCCCTCCGTCTTAGTTGGCCAATCACCCACGTGAGGTTGAGTCAGAAGGGCAGCCTCCCTCTGCACAACCCTGATACAGGTATGCATGAGACCAACAACACCCATCACACAGTTACCTGTTTCTCTTTCCTAGAAACACACAAGTGGACTGCTCTGCACCACATCCTGTTTGAGTGGTCATGGTCGAGTCTCTCAGTCAAGTCATGCATGAGAATGTGGTGCCACCACTGCCATTGCATGTGTCCTCTCCCTGGGAAAAACTGTGACCACACAATGTAACCTAAAACTAAACATAACTAATTACTTCTAATAACTAATAAATATGGCAACACTATTTTACACACACACTGTGTATATATTATACTTTTTTTTTTTTTTTTACCTTCAAAGAACTTTTCTGTGTGAAGTTTGCATGTACTCCATGTGCCTGCGTGGGTTCTCTCCAGCTTCCTCCCACAGTCCAAACACATATGGTTTAGGTTGACTGGTGACTCTAAATTACCCGTAAGAGTAAGTGTGGGTGTGTGTGGTTCTCTGTAAGTGTCAGCCCTGTGACAGGCGACCTGTCCAGGGTGTACCCCGCCTCTCGCCCAGTGTCAGCTGGGATTGGCTCCAGCCCCCCACAACCCTCTTCAGGTTAAGCAGGATGGATAAATGGATGGACGGACCTTTAAAGAACAGGAAAAACACATTTGTATCTACAAACCAGAAAATGTAACTGTATGCCAAGCAAACTTCAGTTTACAACAACATTTTGAATCAATCAGGGAATGATTCCGATTCCTAACCTAGGGTTTGAGAATCCTTATTGAGGTCACAAGGTGCTTTCTTGCAGAAAGATGGAGCAACACTACTCTTATGCCTGTAAAGTAAATATGCATGTGGAGCCAGCAGCCCATTAGTTAGCTTAGCACAAACAATGGAAAGAGCAATGAACAACTAGTCTGACTCTGCCCAACATTAACAAGTATAACACAATACGGAGGAAGCTCGGCCTACACTGTGTGCACAATTATTAGGCAAGTTGTATTTTTGAGGATTAATTTTGTTATTGCACAACTACAGTGCTCTTGGTCAATCGAAAATGTTAACAAACCCTCAAACCTGAACATTTAAGTAGTAAAAGTGAAGTTTTGGCTTTCTTAAAAGAATATCTACATGTACACCATTATTAGGCAACTATTAGTGTGCAGAATTATCATGCAACTAAATAAAAAACAAAGATTTTCCCATCTCACTTATTTATTTTCACCTGTTAAAGTGAGAATAATAAACAAACTCATAATTTACAAATAAAC